CATTTTTTTTTTTTTTTTTTTGCCTCATAAACATAATAGTTAAACCCAGGTACATGCCTACCAAATAATGCCCACAAACTACAAAGTGAGCATACGCACATCAGAAAATTCACAGCCAGAGCACAAAAGTTCCAATTCATCACACTAGCAACTCACTAAAGCATAATATTATTTTTTCTCCCCCAGTAAATGAAAGCTTCAGCCAATGTTTAGAAGACAGCACTTCCTCCTATCTGTGCAGATAGGATGAGGAAAGGATTGGGACTGAGGGGATGAACTGGGGGCAGGGTGGTACTGGGAGGAGGGTAAAAAGAGAAGTAACTGCATTATTCCCATGAGACAACAGGCGAGTAATTATTTGGACTGACCCTATTCTTCACATGCAAAGGGTAGATCTTGTTCTTCCCCAGCAGACCCTGGGGAAGGTTCAAACTTTAGAAGCTATTTTCTGTCTGATCCACCAAACCAATAAATCCAACCTAAGTCTTTGAAGGGTCAAAAGACCCAGAAGCAATCAGATCAACTACAGAATGGCTATTATTCAAGAATAATACTTGATATTTCAGGAAGCTACAACAAAATGAAATACTGTTAACCTAAGAAGTTTCAAAGTGAAAACTTTAAAAACCACACAGCCAAACCTCCAATAGCTAGCAACAGACAAAGAAAATAAAAATACTGAATAATAAATGCTATAAAAGAAAATAGTTATGGAGGCAAAATTATTAATAATATGATTTGGGGAAAGTCTCCTAAATGCTTTCCATTAGGTGGTATAAGTCAAAAAGGACTGTGAAAAGGTAGAGAATAAGTTCTATTAGGAGAAAAAGGAAGACAGATTCAGGATGTCTCTCTTGGTGTTCTCAGCTGTGACTTGGACATAAAACCAGTCACAGAACACAAAATGAGAAAATGTAACAAGACTTCATATACTAATAAAAGAACTAGATTTGAGAAAGGCTATCAAAGATGCTTGAGGAAGGCTGCTAAGGTTTAACAGGAAGAGGTTATGTATGGGCAAAGCCTGTAGCTACCATTTAGCCTCAGACAGGACAGCAGTGATGAATTTTTAAAAAATACTGTAAACAAAGAGGGCTGGGGATTTAGCTCAGTGGTGCCACTGCCTGCCTCACAAGCACAGGTCCTGAGTTTGATCCCTAGTGCAAAAAAAAAAAAAAAAAAAAAATTACTGTAAATAATTAACAGAAATTCTAAATTCCTGATAGGCCAGGTGAGAAGCAAAGCTATTCAAGAAGGACCAGAGATGACATTTACAATAAAGACTAGCTTAAAAAGCAAGAATGATCCAATCTTGACCATTTTAAGGTCACCAAGGATATTGACAAATCACTGCTCTCATATCTGGGATTCCCTATTAACACTCAGCTCCAACTTTCTTTTTTAAATTCCTTCTCTTCTTTGCTTTTTGTCTTTGTTTAAAACTAAGACTAATGTTTTCTGGTAAACCATTAAACTGAGGTTTAGTTTCAGTTCCTACTTCACTTAACTATAAGTGTGTCCCCAAAAAATACTATTTCTCAATTCTTAAAGTTTAATTTAATATCCACCTACTATTTGCTGAGCTCTATTTACAATGGAAATGTTTTAAAATACCCTTAATTGGTTTTGTCTTTGTTTAAAACTAAGACTAATGTTTTCTGGTAAACCATTAAACTGAGGTTTAGTTTCAGTTCCTACTTCACTTAACTATAAGTGTGTCCCCAAAAAATACTATTTCTCAATTCTTAAAGTTTAATTTAATATCCACCTACTATTTGCTGAGCTCTATTTACAATGGAAATGTTTTAAAATACCCTTAATTGGTGCAGTGAGTAACTAAGGAAATCAAACAGGTATATTTTGCTTTGGGGGGGGGGGAGAAAGAGAGAGATAGGAACAAGTTCCTCAGGCCAACTTACAAATCCTCCTTTTCTTAGACAGGAATCGCCCGGGGATGAGCTCAACACATACTCCACCATGCTAACGCCTAGTCCCCCACTCTCCGACCGAGGGGACAGAACAGAATTGACCTCACTGTTCACATGGAAACTCTGACCAGGTCTTCTCTGCACCATGATTGGCTGGGAAACTGAATGATCTACAAAAAAGATACACAAGCATGATACAGTGCAGCCAGAGGCCCAAACAAATTATGAGTGATGTCTCATGGATAAACCAATGACTGGGAATCAGGAAACCTGCCATGTTCCTAAGCAGAAATCTTCTACTGTATTTTTCACTAGGTACTGATATTCTACATAAGCTAAGGAAATGAAAAACACTCCTCATTTATCCAGCATAGCAGAGAATACAGCAGTTCACATAATTGGTTCATCTAGCTAATGAATAAATTAATATTTATACCTTTCAAATAGCAGAAATTTTAAAACATATTTTATTAGTAATATCACTGAGTAAGTAAGAGTTTACTGCCCTTTTTAAAAACAGCAACATAATCCAATCTTTCCTAATGACTATCATCACAGGGTTCCGTTCTTACAATGTGCTGTGACACAGCACACCATCTTTGGGGTTTTCTATATCCTTCCTTCCTATAATCTGTCACATCTTTCTTCTGTCAGTGTCTGTCTCTACATGTTCTCCCCCATCCCTTTGCAGGGGCAGTCTATCACAAGAATATCTGTGCCCAGTGACTCCATTTGGCCCCAAGTACATTCAAAGATAAATGATCCCATACATGGTATTCGGGGGCAAGGGGGAAAAAAATATGAACTTCAAATGGCAGGCATAGATTTTCTAATTCCAAGTATGCTGACAGTAGTACAGAACAAAAGGTTATAGCTAAAATTATGGTCATTTCAAATAAGACCATTCCTCTGTGGCTAGCACTTCTGAAAATACTGAAGATTTGATTTTGTATTAATTGTATTTTAATATATTACATCATATAAGCTCCTTAATGGCAATTATACTACTGGAAAGGATGTTTGCTTGACATGCTTATGTCACTGATGTAAAATTCATGACTTGCCAACTGCTAAGGAAAGGAGCTCTAAGACAGGCATAAATCACAGTACAGATGCTAGATCTAGATTACCTGATGTTCCCCAGGCACTGTCTCGCCATTGATCACCCAGGAATATTCCTTTTGGTCCATCTTTGCTGGATTCATCTGTTTCCCAAAACTTTTTACCTGGCAAGAGCTGCTGCAAATTAAAAATAATAGATGCTTTTAAAGAATTCATAAAGGATGAAAGTACAGCAGTCAACACTTTCTTTTAGACAAGGGTACTGAAGATGCTCATGTGCGCTGAAGGTCTTTCTTTAATCCAAGTGTTCTGACTACACAGCTGTGGTCAAAGCACTACTGTATATTTGGTAAAAGACAGAGCAAGGCCTAAGGCAAAGGGGGACACTAATCGGACCATCCAATAACAGCTCAGCTTAAATGTCTACTATGTCTTAAATGTCTTAACCTATGCCAAGATTTTTAAGGGGGAGGGAGAGAACTCATATTGGCCCCATTAGCAAACTGCCTGCTAAGAGGACTCTTGTTGAAAAAGGAAATACCAACTATTAAACCACTTCTGCCCGCAGGTGTAGTACTTGATCATACAAAGTTATTCATACTGGAACATGCACCCAGCTGGGTTTCCCCAGCTATGGCATGCTACAGGCAAAATTCATTTCCTTTATACACAGAGACTCTTAACCAAATGCTTCCCAACCACAACTTTAAACTATTCCAATTTTTTGAAAACACAGAAGAGCTATTTACACATTACTAGAAGAAAAATGTCTCCTAATTTTATCAATGGTTGGTAGTGACATTAAAATGACTTCAAAAGTCATTCAGCCTTCTTAGAAATTCAGGTATCACTGGCCCTAAATCAATGAGAACCTCAATCAAGGAAATACTTGAAGTACCTTCAAGTAAAACACAACACAGTTTTACATAAGATCAAAGCATCAATGATAGGGTTACACAGGAAAATTGCATAAGAACTCCATGATTCCTGGTTCTAGTCACCAGTTTTGTTCACTAAAATGTCTCTTATACTTTCTCTAATTATGTTTTCTTTTCAACTGCTATTATTCAGAAAATTTTAAAGTTTGAGATAGTATTTAACCACTGCTTTTAGACACAAAAAGGCACACACACACCTAAAGAGCTGCACTTCTCAGAGGAACAGAAAACATAAAGCATTTGCTCTCCTCCTTGACAATACAGGCTTAACTTTCTAATTAAGGTTTAACCTTCCAATTTATAATCCTATAACCCAATGATAAGGAAAAAAAACTAAACTCTGACCATTAAAATTAATCCATGTTTCCCAAACATAATTTTTAGGTTTCTTGGCATAATCTGAAACCACTCTTAAGAAGTTCTACAAATCTCTCTTGCAGACATAGATTACTGCCTGGACCAACATGATTTCCCACATGTTTTGGGCTTTGTTACTATATTTTCTAATCAAACAATATGATAACAAAAGACATTATGATCTGACATTTAATTGCTCAAAATGTCTTAAATTTTCCTTAAAGGGCAACAGTAACAGGCAGCAGTCAATTCCTCTGGAGTCTATTAACTTCAGTGGGTCTAAGTGAGGAAGAAGAAGGTAAAACCAAAGGGACAGGCAGTCCAGATGAAGAACAAGCCGTGGATCCAGGAACCTGTAAACTAGATAACTGTGATCTGCCTAGGAAATTTGTTGGACTGCCCTGGGCCTCATTTTCTTTTTTTACTAATGAAGCAAATATTTTCAGGCTGCTGTGATAATTAGAGATACTGTCAATGTGCCTAGCACAATGTCTGCCACAGTATATTCTCAATAAATGCATTCAGTTGCATCACACCTAGGTGCTTTCAAATCCCAGAAGTGATACTGAAAATTGATGTAAACTATTCAAGGGACAATTTAGAACATCCATGCCTTTAAATTTTTTCCCCTTATAGTTTCAAAACACAAACAAACTTGTCCAAAGATGATAAACAGATCTAATTCTGAATATTTTTCCCTTTATTCTGAAGACAGTGAGCGCAAACAGGAGCCCACATCAGCTACCCCTCTATATACAAAAGAAATAACGCCAGCACCAGAGGCCACCTCACTTACTGGTTAATTTTATGGTCCACGTAACAGTGCAAAGAGTGAAAGTGATTAAAACCACTCTTACCCCTTAATTTTTAAAGTGTTCATCACTCTCCATATAAGTTTGGAAATCTTTATTTAAAATTGAAGGAGTATTCTCAGTACTGTCCTCACTCAACCAACAAAAAAACAAAAAACCTCAGGAAACAGCTTCTAGTCCTAGCATTAGACTTCATATGCAAATACTGTCTATCTATAATTTGTTAAATTGTTCACTGAAAGCAGCCGTCTTTGAACTAAGGCTTCCAAAATGCCTTTTGGGTTCCTATTATCCTTCACTGTAACATGTCAGGCTGTCATAATGTACAAAGCCAACAAAAGCAGGTAACCACAGAACAAAGTTTTAGGCGAAATTCTTTTAATAGGAAGCAACAATATAGCAAACATGAACCCAAATGCTAAAAAGTGAATGTTCTACTTCACCCTAGTATTAGATTCAAGTCTCAAAGGAATATGTACGAAAAGCTAAAGTTCCTAGCTCACCAAGAGTCAACAATTTCTCTCACTTCTATATAACAATCAATATAAACTGTGCAGGTATAATGGCACACACATAATCCTAGCACTCTGGGAAGCTGAAGCAAGAGGACTGCAAGTTCAGGCCCAGTCTGGGTAACAGAGTGACAGCCTGTCTCAAAATGGAAAAAACTGAATGAATAAATATAAGTGAAAAGATGTCCCAGATGTAGCTCAGTGTGAAAGCCCTAAGTTGTATCACTGATACCACCAAAAAAAAAAAAAAAATTTTTTTTAATCAATAAATATAAATCCTAAGCAGATGGTTAGGGGCAGCCCAAAAAGTACTACAATACAATTTGCTGAGGCAAAGTAGTGATGAGAAGGCTATTATTAATGCAAAAACTAGGGACAGAAAAGGTATGTTTAGAAGAGATAAAAGAAAAAAGAGTGGGAGAGGAGGTTGACAACTTGCCAATGGGGTGGAGTGGAATTAATGAATTTCAAGGGTGCTCTCTGCAAATTGGGGAGAATGAAAATTACTGAACTACAGTGGGTGGGCAAAGACAGAAGCAAACTTTAGTCAAACCCTTAAATATCACACAGAACCTAGTATTTCTCTCATTAGTCCAAAACATACCAATGTACACTCAACTGTTAGCAGCATGACAGATGATTCCTAATCATCTAATCCCCTTCTCTTAACTGTAGAGCAGGACCTAATGGCTTAAACACACACACACACACACACACACACACACACACACACACACACACACACACGGCAAGAGACTGTTCAAAAAGTCTGTGACAGGCCAGGGATTTAGCTCTGTGGTACCATGCCTGCCTCTCAAGCACAAGGTCCTGAGTTCGATCCACAGACCCCTACAAGGGCCGGGGATTTAGCTCAGTGGTTCCGCCACCTGCCTCACATACACCACCCCCCAAAAAAACTGGTCTCTGATGTCCATACTGCTTATACTCCTCCGATTTGCTCTGTTCATTTAGGTAAAAACAGCTGTTTTTAAGCAGTGAGCAACCCTGGGGAAGGCCAGCCAACAAGAGACATCCCTGCACAACACTCATTAGGAACTAAGGCCCTCCCTCTAACAATCTGAAAAAGTGGCCCCAATACATGAGTTTAGAAAGAGAACCTTTCCCAGCCAAGCTTGAGATATATGCATCCCCAGCTGAAATCTTGCCTTCAGCTTGGGAAGAGACCCTAGTGAAGCCATGCACGGATTTCTGACCTACAGAAATGAAGAGACTTGATGAGCACAGTGGTGCACACCTGTAATCCCAGCACTTATGATCTTCAGAGGTCAGCCTAACTACATATTGAACGCAAAGTCAGCCTGAACTATAAAGCAAGACCCTGTCTCATTTTGTGTGTGGAGGGGGTGGGGGTGGGGTTGCCGGGAATTGAACTCCGCTTGCAAGGCAAGCAGCAGTATTTTTTTTAACTTGTTTTTAAAACTCTAAAATTAGGGCTGGGGATTAAGCTCAGTGGTGCCAGCACCTGCCTCACAAGTGGAAGGTCCAGAATTTGATCCCCAGTACCCCCCCAAAAAAAACTCCAAAATTCAATCAACACAGATAAACTAAACTTACTGAAATAAGTAGCAACCATTTATATTCAAGAGTCACGGGCTGGGGATTTAGCTCAGTGGTACCGCCGCCTGCCTCTCAAGCAGAAGGTCCAGAGTTCCATCCCCAGTACCAAAAAAAAGTCCCATGGCGTAGTGGTGCATGACTATGATCCCAGTACTCAGGAGGCTAAGGCAAGAGGAAAACCACTATATAGGGAGTTCAAGGCCAGGCTGAATTACATATAGTAGACCCTGTCTCAAAAAAAGCAATAAAAGGGCGGAGGGTTTAACTCAGTGGTGCCTCCACCTGCCTCGCAAGCACAAGGTCCTGAGTTTGATCCTCAGTGGGGGGGGGGTGGAGTAAGAGGCAAAAAAGCAACAACAACCACAAAAATAGATAATATGAGTGTTACGGTTTATATCTGGATGCCTCTCTTCAAAAGCCTCATGCATTCAAACGTGGAGTTTTTTTGTGTACTTTTTCCCCCTAGTACCAGAGTTGCACCTGCCAGACAGGTACAGCATGGTACCACTGAGCTACATCCCGAGCCCAGGTGGAGTTTTTTGGAAGGTGAATGGATTTTAAGAGTATTGTGCTATGGTGTGCTGTCAGAAGGTGAGGTCTCATCAGCAAAAATAGATGGGGCTGGGGGACTCCTTCCCAGCTCCTCCCTGGTTCCCTGCTTCCTGTCTGCCATGCCATGAGCAATTCTCTGACAGGCCCCTTTGCCATGCAGTCCTGCCTTGGAGCCAGCCAACCATGCAAGGATTGAGACAACTGAAACATGAGTTAAAGTGTCCCCCAACAAGAAAGTGACTAAGATAACAGATAAATGTTAAATAAAAGATGATGTGTTATCCAGATGTGACTTAAATTCAACAGTAACCTCTCTTCCTGGCTCACCCATCAACTGACATAATACACACTTAGTACTATAGATGCCTAACTTAGTCAAACCTAAATTCACCAAACATTTACATGCAAGCAGCATATGAAAAAATAGA